CCCCTGCTTGGCGACAATCTGGCTGCCCCAGCTGAATGGAGCAGGCTCGACCTCTGACCTTGCAAAGTGACCACCCTCTTCCCTGCCCCCAGCTTCCAGGAGGCCCCACCCACTGCCTTCCTCTCCCAAAATTTCTAAAATACCAGGCAAGAGACAAAGACCTAGGAATGTGGGCCCAGCAGGAGAGGAAGGGGGGAGGTTAAAGAAAAAATAAATAAAAATACCAAGCGGGCAGGTTTACCTTAGCCAGAGCTTAAATAAAGTGCTTTGTTAATGAACAAGACCGTGTGTGTACGCACTTTCTGGAAACCTACTTTTTCTACTACCTGCGATCCGACGAGGAATTCATACACACCACACGTCTGTAAGAATGAGCTTCTAGTTTTAAATACAACTGCCCACATCAGTGAAGGTGTAAGCCCAAAGGGTAGAGGGAGAGGCCTCTCACTATCTAAATGCCCCAAATGAAATATATCAACCACTGTAAACTTATTTTTGAGACTTTTTGCCCCCTACATCTCTTAAAATGACTAGGGACATCTGGCTTCCCACAAACTCAGGCTTAAACAGAAGGAGGTCTCCACCCACCAAAAAGGGCTTCTTAAGTTTCCCACTATAGAAATGAAGAATGACTAGTGACAACCAGAAGCCTTATCAGTGGGTGCCACCAGGCAGACTCTCCTATTTAAAAGTGGGCAAGCCAAGTTCAAGGAGCGAAGCCCAGTCACAAAGCTAAGTCCATTCGATCACATCAAAACCAAGCTTTACTTCATTTATGGAAAATACACTGAACACCAAGTCCAAACCCAAGGCAGGGACTCGCCTCCTGCATCCCTAGCCTTGGTTGCTGCTACACAGAGCTGTGGCCTGGGGGGCCCAGGAAGGGGCGAAAGAAAGAAAATCCGGACCCTTTTCTCCAGCACAATCACCACCAGCTCAAAACAGCAGAGCCAGGCTGAGGACAAGTTATTTTTTATGTGGGGAAGGGGACTGTCCGGAAAACTTATTTAGATAGGGAACATACATGTGTTTGATGCAAAAAGATACATAAATGCAGTTTTAAATCTCTCCCAACTTAAATAATCCTCCAAAAATATGCTGTATTATACGCACGTGAATTTTTAAAAAACAA